GAGAACATTATGCGAGTGAAATAAGTCAATTACAGAAGGACAAATACTGTATTACCACTATTGTAAAAAGTCAAGGAAAGGTTTCCATATGGAAGGCAACTTTCTTTGTTGGTTACCAGGGTTGGAAGGGGAGGAGAGGGAAAATTGCTAGATAAGTAAGAGAAAAGTATTGATTTGGGTGAAAGGACAGGCAATATACCAAAAGCTAGTGACCAGCATAGTAACACTTGGAAAAATGAAGACACAGAAAGATGTATAAGAGGTGTAGACAATAAAGATAAACACTTTTACATACACTATACTGCATTGTCGGTAATAAGAAAATCTAAAGGTGAACACATAGATAGACAGGCTAAATGATCAGGTAAAAAGGAATATACCCATGGCCATATATAAGATTGACAGGCAATCTTTCTGCATACAGATTTGTATGTACTATAAGAATGTCCATATATATAATAGAGCTACTGGGGCAAATTTTTAAAACTTTACACAGTCTATCTCCAGGACTCAAGAGTGAAATCTGTTGGGGATACAGGTAGTTCCTGACTTACAGGGGTTAGTTCTAACTACTCTGTTGTAAGTTGGTTCTGACATAAATTGGATTCCTCCTCCTCCCCTTTTTTAAAAAAAATTTTCATTATTTTTGCCTTTTATCATCAGTATCTTTATAAATCTGATATTTATTTTATCTTTGGGAGTTGGAAATATTACATATCAATTTACAGTTACAATATATTACAATATAAATACTGTAATCAATTTACGAATACATTTTAGTAAGGATATATAAACATTAAAAAAAAAGGTGAAAATTTACTCCAATGATGATGTCAATTGTGGTAGTAACTCCATTTGTGGAAGGTTCTGTATCATTAGGGTTTATCCCTGGGAATGGGGATGGCATTTCTAGTCAGAAAATTAAAGTTTCTGTATGGTCCTTTTATTTTTTTCTTCATATATCTTGTGTAACATCTCACTGCTTCCTGAATCTGCCTGTTGACTTTAGCAAAGTGATTAGCATTTGGGTCTATGTTTTTAAGCATCTGAAATCCCTGAATTAGTTTAGAAAACTAAAATCTATACAGCAGTGTTTTGAACAGTAAATTATAAAATTGAACATCTGAGAATGATAATATCAGCAAATTACAAGCTACAACTTTGTATACAGTACATATTACATATAAGATGTACCAGGAGAAACCCGGTGGTTGTAAATGTGGTTCATTATAACTCCAGTAGATCATAAGTCTGACACTACCTGTAGTTATCTTCAAATATACTACTCTGGAAATAAGAGCTTCTGGTGTTGTATAGCAAATGTTTGAGTTCTGATTTAGTTATTTGTTTTATTTGATAATAGTCAGCTGTTTTTTACCCTACCACTGGGTACCTAGATATGATTCATCATTGATAATATGTCACATTCTGTAGAGATGAAGTAATGTAGGGTTTTCTTGACATGTTAGTAAATGTTAATTATGGCTTGCATTAAGATTGTACCTGGGTATTTTCTCTAATGGAAAAATATGTGTTCAAGAAGTTAATTCTGAATTCAGTGCTTTTTTGTTTTGGCTTTTAAGATAGACAGACTTTCCAAAAGCTTTGGTGATTTTGCTTCTTTTAAAGACCAAATTAATCAAAAGGCAGACAGTAAGAAGAAAATGTCAAATATTCAAGAGGGTTAGATTTTCTTAGTAATTTTTGTTCTTAGCAAATCACCACTGTTTTTTGTTAAATAAAAAAGCAGTAGATACTTTGAGCCTTTCAGAATCAGTATTTCCTTATAAATCTTTCCTTTAGTCCCTCTTTTGTAGATAAGAGTTGATAATTGTGTTTTGGTTTCTCAATACAGTTTGCTAAGATTATTTTAGCCTTCATTATTGGAAGAGGAATATCCCCAGTAATTGGTAGGAGCACCTCAGTAGTAAGTAAATTAAAATTAGAATTGTCAAAGCAGGGATTTCTAAGCTATTTGATGTTGTGGGTGGAAACATCATAGAACCTTGATATAAAAGTGTCTAATTAATAGAAGTTAGAAATATTGTCAACTCATGTCTCTTATAGAGTGGACTAGCCCTTTTCTCCCATGCCTTTTGCCTCTGAATCTTTAGAAAAGAGAGAGGGGGATTATAAGCAGTATTTATGAACATTCATTGCACGTTGTTACACATTCTGACCTTTTTTTTTAAGCAACATTTTTCAAATTTGCTGTGTACACAATACTGTGCCTAGTGGAGAAGGAGAATTCAGGCATGGTCCCTGCCTTCAAAAGAACTCGTTATCTCATCTGTGAAATGGGCACATGTACAGCTACTACATGGAATGAATGGAAGGCATTGGTAGGGTAAAGTTTGGTTGGGTATGGCTTCTAAGTTTAAAAGTAGTCTCTCCTCCAAGATTCTGGTTTGAAACATTGGAGCTCAGTGGAAGGAAGCATTGTTCCACCAAAGGCTGGAGCGTTAGCTAACCTGGCTCTGGGACCCAAGAGCGTGCCAAATGTGGGGCTGTTTTTCTTTTTCAGTATGAACAATTTAAAACACATATAAAAGTGGAAAGCGAACCCCCAGATACTCATTTCTAAGATTTAATAATTATAAAGATTTTGCTACATTTACTTCATCTCTTCCACTTTATTTTTATTTCGCTATTCTGTTTTAAAGTAAATTCCAGACATTTCAATCCTGTATACTTAAGTATTCATCTCTAAAAATCTGGACGTTTTCTTGTATAACCATGGTGCTATCTTGAAGCTAACTAAATTAACAGTCATTCCTTGGTGTCATCTCATAGAGGAGTCACTTGTGAGCCTTATCCAAGGTTAATTTTATTCAGGTGTGATCATTATTTTTAGTCTCCTCAAAGTCTTTGTTGACCTGGTACCAGTAAATCAGTACCATGGATAATTTTGCTTGATAGGTTTTTTCCTGGATATTTTCTCTAATGAAAGAATATGTGTTCAAGGAGTTAATTCTGGTAACAGTACTCCTACATGAATGTTCTACTGAAACTAACTTAATTACATGTGCAGTAAGGCAGTGGGAAACTTCTCCATTTATATTTAGATTTAAAATATAGTCAAAATGAGCCATCTTTGTGGCATGATGCACTTCTAGCCCAGCCTGATTTGGCCATTCACAAAAGTAGTCAGAAGGTAAGACTGTGTTGAGACTCAAGGCACAAAAAGAGCTGACCGTAGTTGACTTCTTTATGGTTCTTGCCATCATGTTGTGCTTTTACTCTTCTCACTCTTTCCTACTTTATACTCCTGACCACTGAAAGGGAATTAATTTAAACTCTTGAAACTACCAGTGCAGCCTTCTCCCTCCAATGCATGTGCCAACATAGATACATATCCCAAAATATTCTTGGAACTTGGAGGAAAAAAGGAGGGAGACTGGGATCATGTAGGTGCTTTCTTCTTTCCACCAGAATCAGGATAGTTATTTTCATTGCTTGAGAGTTTGGACACAAATTCTTATTAATTGTCTTATTTTGTGGATTTGTAATATGATTTATAACAATATTATTTGTTCTAACCAAATACTATTATTGCAATAAAAAGTTCTGGTGATGCAGTGGTTAAATACTTGGCTGCTAACTGAAAGGTTCCAGTGCAGACCCACACAGCTGCTGTGCAGGAGAAAGACTTTGCAGTCTGCTCCCGTAAAGATTGCAGTCCAGAAAATCCTATGGGGCAGTTCTACTCTGTCACATGGTGCCACTGTGAATCCACACAATGACACCTAACAACAACATTATTGCAATAAATATTAAGTAACCAAATGAAACTCATTATTTTCCATATTCTTCTGTGTTTTCTGTCTTGGTTACTGGCCTTGTTACATGCCTGCATGAGGAAGTCTTGAGATTTTTCCCTTGACTCCTACTGGCAGTTGGTGATCTTTGCAGTGGCTCCATTCACTTCATTCCAGTTATCCAGCCCTAGTTCCAGATCTTTACTGTACATCCATCTGAATCATTACAGTGGCTTTCAGTTGGCCCCCATTCTTTCTCAGCTGCTTTCCCTGCAGTCCATCAGATCCTCATTACTGCTGGTTATCATTCTAAAATAAAAATCTCATCATACCACTCCTTTACACACAAGCTTATGTTAGCTATCAGTTGTCTACAGAATAAAGTTTAACATTGTTAATGTGGAATTTGAACTCCTCCATAGTTTGGAGCTATACTAACCTGCCTGCTGTGTGCCACAGCCCCCTGAGAGTATGATCTATTGCATCAGCGTTCCATACGCTTTTATTCTTTCCTGTCCTGCTCACATTGTTCTATTTATCTGGAATGCTGGTAAGTGGTGGAGGGGAGATTCCAGACCATGCACTTTCATTAATATTATGCTTAATGCATGAAGGTCCTGTGGAGTTGCAATGAAGTTTTACTCTTTTCTTTTGGTTTTATCAAATCAGAATGAGATTGTACATCAGAAGTATTCTTGGATGAAGTTTGTAAACTAAAGTTCAGTACTCCAGGGACTTGGAGTCTTACATTTTGATAATGGTGCCAGTTACTTTTTTAAAATCATTTTTTCCCATTGAATCTCCAAAATCTGCCTTTACCTTTGTTGTTTATTGCTCTTTGCTTGTGGCAAGCAGGAAGAGAAAGATATGTGTAAATAAAGGAAAAGGATTTCAACCAGGGAGAGGGAAAGAAACACTGTGATATAAGAGGTTATCAAATACCAGCTGTTTTGTAGTTTGTTAAGGAGGAAATTCAGAGGGGAAAAACTGAAAAAAGGAAGAGAAAGAACTTTTCATTATGATACAAGATTGTTGTATTAACATCTTACATAATCTTTTTCAAAATGCAGAGCTAACAAAGGATGGGAATCTTTTCACCTGTCTTAGTAATGGTAATTTTTGTTGTAATGAAATGTTTTGTGATTTACCAATTTTTATCAGTTTTCAAGAAACAATTATTATACTTGTATAGAATTTTCTGAAAATTATCATTCAAATGTTATACTACATGTCTTTTTTTAGACAAAAGAAGTTAGAAAAAGTGATGGAAGAAGAAGGCTTAAAAGATGAAGAGGTAATTAATATTGGAATTTCTTTGAAACCCAGCATGGCAAGTCATATCTTGTCCAGCAAGTTGTTTGTCTTGGTGCATAGGGTTTTGGCTTTGTGGTATAGGAATTTATGAGCGCTGGCCCACTCCCGGATTTCAGTATTCATGCAGAGGGAGGAGTTAATTACTCAGTTCACTACCCAGGAGTGGAAGGCTTCTCTGGGTATAGCTATGAGTTAATTAGATTTAGAATTTTAAGGAAAAAATAGTTGTGGGGTGGGTGAAATCGAATTGAAATTTAAAAGAGAAAATTGTAGCATATTTAACAGAACTCACTGGAAAGACTCCATGAGGAGTGGAGCAAATTTCTGAAATCAGTATCAAGGCAACATATCCATCTGAAATTATCCCTTCCAGTGCCCACAAATGTGTTAGGAGAAAATGTAGTTAACAAGGGACTGTGGAAGGAACTGATATGGTAGTGACAGTACTTTAAAAAGTAGGAATGAATCACAGAACCCAGGAAGGTGGTGAAAAATATCCAGGATTTGTCGGAATAATAGAAAGTTATAGCATAAAATGAACTGCAATGTAAAAGACTCAAAGGGAAATAGAAGATCATCATTTATTTTATATAAAAAAGGTTAAAGGAAAATGTTGCTTATTCTCCTTCATTAGAAAAGAGTATAAGGGATTGCTGAAGTAGGTTAGTCAGCATCCTCAGAGGAGACCTTCATCTGTCCAGGTTTGGTTATTGCATCTGAAGGCCAAGGAAGGGGGAAGCGACCCCTGAATGCTGCTTCTGTGGTACTTTCATGGGTGAAAGGAGTATGCCTAATCTAGTCAAATCACAAATAGGACTTTGTTGCAGAGTTTTAGAATTTCAACTCTTTCTTACCCTTTCTCTCCTTCCTTAAACATTTAGAAACGACTCAGGAGATCTGCACATGCTCGGAAGGAAACAGAATTTCTCCGTTTGAAGAGAACAAGGCTTGGACTGGAAGATTTTGAGTCCTTAAAAGTAATAGGCAGAGGAGCATTTGGTGAGGTAAAAACCACCAAATCTACTTATCAAATGCAAAAATACCACAGAACTTTGATGCTTCTAACATACTCAGGGGTTAGGTAGGTCAGGTATGTCAGCCCCACATCCTGACTGCTTGTACTGCCCTCCTCTTCTCTTCCCCCTTCCACTGTCCCAGATCTCTGATTGCTTGTCCCTATTTTGTCAGAAATGATGTTGATGTTTTTGATTTAGAGGGAGAGTTAAAAGGTAGAAGAAAACCAACATTTATTATTTACTGAATGCCTTTCTACTATTATCCTGACAATAACCATTTTATAGATGATGACATTAAGGCTCAGAGGGGCTATGTAATGTCCCAGTGTCACACAGCCATTAAACAGTGAGACTAGGAGTTGGGCCCAGGTCTTTCTGACCTTAAAGCTCTTGTTTTTCTGGTACCACACTGCCTCTCCACTAGCAAACTGACAACATAGCTTTAGCCTTTCAATTCTTCCCACCAGCTTGGCACAACTCTTAAAAGATGGCCTTTAGGAGATAGAATTTACAGAAAGGAGTTATATAGGTAGTGGTAGAGGGTTCAAAGCATTTGCAGCTTTGTCTGAGCTAGTCCTGCAAATACATCCTCCTTGGTCACAGAGCAATCTGTTGCGTGATGGGGCTCTCCTTGTCCAGAGCAAGGAAGAATGAAGGAAACCAAAGATGCATGGAAAAAGTTAGTCCAATGGACTAGCAGACCATGTGATCCTTAGCCTATATGACTAAGACCAGAAGAAGTAGATGGTGCCTGGCTACCACTGTCAACCACTTGGAAGGGAATCGGTGCAGGAGATCCTGGCATAGAGTGGAAGAATAATGTGGAACAAAACTCAAAATCATAAAAAAAAAAAAAAGACCAGGTTTGCTGGTCTGATGAGCCTGGTGAGACCCCTGACACTATGACCCCTAATTACTCTTCAGGTCTGGAACTGAACTTACTCCTATGGCTTCTAGCCAAACAAGAGATAGGCATATGGAGTAAACATTTATATCAGGTAGATATACTCCTTGGAGCGATTAGATCAATCTTGGGAGAACAGAAGGGCAGTGTTTGCACAGGAAGACAGTTCAAGGGGGCCAGAGTGCATGGGAGGGAAGGACACAGGGATGAGGTAAGTAGAGGGAGGAAATAGAAAAAGAGCTATTATGTTGTGGGGAATTGCAGTTAATGTCATGAAACAAAATGTGTATGAACTACTTTATGGAAAATGAATTTGCTCTGTAATCTCTCACCCAAATCACAATAAAAATTAAAAAACAACAACAACAAAGAAAAACAGTCTGTTGTGGTGGGTTTGAATGAGCCCAGGCACAGTCACTCCAATTAAGGGAAAACACTCAAAATGAAGGAGCTACTGATGCAATAGTTGCATTATCTTTGTATGAAAGGAGCAGCATATTATTAAAAACCAGTACCTGGGGGAAATGTGAGTACCTATTTTAAAGGCACAGGTGAAAGATTAAATTGATCCCAGTGTTCAGAATCCCTGAGTTGTTCCCTTGAGAGAGAGGGAAAGGTACAGTACCATCTCTCAAAGAGCTTTTGTTCATTCAACGGGGACGGGCTGTGTGGGACTCAATTATGGAAAATGTGAAGAAAGGTGGTGGTGGTGGTTGTGTGCCTGATGGGTTTGAACTGCCAACCTTTTTGGTTAGCAGTCCAGTAAGTGCCTTAGGCACTACGCCACCAGAGCTCCCGAAGAGAGGTTATACAGGGAAAAGAATACACGAACGTCGTAGGAGAGGGTAGGATGTACAGGGGCTTTCATCATAAAATTACCTATTTTCTTTAAAAATACTGGAAACTAAACAAAGGAAAACTGTATCCTAAATTATGCATTGTACACTATACATGGGACATTACATATATATATATATATATATATATATATATTTCCAGATATTTTTCCTATGTGTAAGCTTTTGCTTTTGTTTTAAATGTTGTAATCATTTACTTAAGTGTTCTGATGAGTGTGCCAGGGGTTTAATGAGTCCTTACATTCAAACTGAAGATTTTTAATTAGATTGGTATGCTCACATAGCATCCCAAAGCTGTTCAGATGTGGAAAGATTTGAGGATGTTTCTAGCATTGACTTTGCTGTGTGTAATGTGTTCATTTTGGAACATTGAAAAGCACTTTTTTCCCCCTCCTTTGTGACTGCTAGTTGTTTGTATTAAAATTGTAACACTTTTTCAGTTTAATATTACTTGCTATAACACGTGAAAGCAGTAGCTTGGCTTTGTGAACTTTGGACCTGGCATTTCTTTTTATAACTTTTAGGTGCGGCTTGTTCAGAAGAAAGATACAGGACATGTATATGCAATGAAAATACTCCGTAAAGCAGATATGCTTGAAAAAGAGCAGGTAAAGCCAAAGTGTTTTAGTAGTACTTTTAGTCAAGTTATGAATTTTTTTGTGCCCTAAAACTATTATTTTCACTTAATTGAAATTTGTAATCTTACTATAATTTTCTTTAGCTCTGTCATATATGACTATATATATAATACTGCCTTTTTTTTTTCCTAATGAAGAAGTAGTTATATACATTGAAAAAGTACAAATAATGCCTGTGGGTTATGGGCAATCTTTTTAAATTTTAACAGCTATTAAAGAAGCATCTATTGTTTGTGTCTCCCACTTGATCATGAGATGTCTTTGTTACAAGGAGGTTTTTTGGGATCACACTTGCATGGTAGCATGTTCTTTGTAGATTGTTGAGGGATACAAATTGGGAACTGGAACCTAGGAATTTGAATTTGGGATTTACCTTCTAAAATATGCCTTAATAAATTTCATCCTGTTGAGGTTTCCAGGCAGCTCAATACTACTATCTGAGAGAGACCAGTCTTCCAATTTCTGAATGAATTTGAAAAATACAATGCAAATAGAGCAGTGCAAAGTCTCCTTTAATGATTAAGAACACTTTCTAAAACCCAAACCCACTTTGCAAATAGATATATGAGAAGCATTAAGTACTTTATGCAAAAATAAATAAGATTTTAACTATTGTGTCATATATTTAAAAAAGCTAGGGTGCAGATTTTCTATAAATATAATTTAATGCAGCTGGCTGCTTAAGAACAGTCTTCAGTAGTGTTGACAGCAGGTATTCCGTAGATGGTCAGATGCTAGAGGAGGGTAAAGAGAAACCCCCTGGCAAGGAGAGATGTGACGCAGAGCATTGGAGCAAGGGTGGATACTGGCCCTGTACCCAATACTCTGCCTCTAGAGAGGAAGTATAATTGCTAAGTCTTCTCTGCCCTTATTTAAGTGCTGCCTCAAAATTTAGAATATTTGTTTTTTCTTTAATTTTCATCTGTTGTCCAGAAGCTTTAGACTCCCAAGAATTTCATTTTAGAGTACACAGTACCCCAGCAGTAAATCTTTAGACAGTATAGGTCATGCCAACACCAAACTTACTCAAAATGTACTTCAGCCCTATTTATATATTATCTACAAATTAGTGTGTTGTATGGGTGTGTAGTTACTGAAAGAGTTTCAGTTAATCTAGAGAAGGAAAATATAAAGCTTCTGTATTGATCAGTGTATTTGCATTACACAAGTTTTATTTTTCCAAGACATATTTCCCACAACTTTTAACCAAAACTCAAAATGCCTCTTTATTCAATAATTAACATGCAGAATACACTTGTAAAGAGGAACATGCATCATAATTTGCAGAATTATTTTTCCTACATAGCATGTGTCAGGTGCCTGGCATGGTCTCAGAGAGGGTGATCCAAACATAATGTGTAAAAACATTTTCTCAAATATTGTGCCTTCCTCCAAAGCAATGTAAAAAATTTTTCTAAATGGAAGTAAAGGAAATACCTGTTAGAATGAGGATTTTAAATGATGTACCAACTTAATTGTTTAGCTTACCTTGTTGATGGACATAATTCCCTAGGTTTGATCTCGGTATGGTCCATTTTAAAGTCTCTGGTCACAGACTTTACCTGGGTTGGCCATCTTGAAGAAGCATGCAGCTTGTTTGGGCTAGGTAGGAACTGGAAGTGGACCAGTAGAAATCCAGCCTTCTTTTTTTATGCAGAGGTAACAGTTTAGATTCATAAATAGTAAGACTTTGTAGATATAGGTGCTTTATCCAGAGGAAAAGTAGTTTTGTTTGTTTTTATTCAACTGAGCAGAAATGAAAGCTACCCACTTAGAATTTAAGTTGTTATTCTGCCCTACAGGGTGGACATTTTCTGCTGCTTAGAAAATAAAATAGTCAAGGATAAGAGACTAACATTTAGCCAGTTTTTTAATGTTTTGCTTCCACTGCAAAAGGAAAACCTATTGTGATGAAGTATAGTCTTACAGGGCAACAAAAGATTGGCATTTACCTCTAGTTTCCTACTGCCCAGGATAGCAACAAGCATGTAATCCCCCACCTCATAAATATTGATGGATCAGGGAGAGGGAATCCTTTTGTGTGAGTTGCACCTCTAGCTCTTCTTTCATTTACCCTATATTCACACAACCACATTCCTAGATCTTGGGGTTCCTAGATCTTGGGGTTCCTAGCTGCTATTTTAGCTTCAGGAGAAAAAGGCAAGGTATGCTCCTTAATAAACAGGAAATGTTGCAGCCACCATTCTATCCTCCATTGTGAGTGACAAGTGGCAATAACGATGCTTCTCCTTTTCTTTGGCTCTCTGAAGCAGGTAGAGAGGCCTGAGGGGAGCCCATGGAAGGCTGAAGTACACGAAGGGCAGCCTTCTACAGTCTTAATGTTTGGTAGTAACTGGGTCTTAGCCAAGGCTGCAATCCAGCTAGCGGCAGCTGATGCCCAGTGTTTCCCAAAGGTTTTACTTCTGTATTAAGGCCAAATAAAGGCAGATGCTGTACTCTGCTTCCTGGTAGTTTCATAGCACTTAACCTTACCACCCTTATCTTCTGTTTTCCCCGCCCTCATACTGTAACTGTTGTTGTTGTTGTTGTTATGTGCCGTGGAGTCAGACCCGACTCATAGCGACCCCTCCTTGGGTTTCCGAGGCAGTATCACTACGGAAGTAGATTGCCCAACCTTCCTTCCAAGCATACTGTAAGTAGAGATACAAAAATGTAAGTTTTCTACAATATTGAACCTATTAAAAAATTCCACAAAAACTAGTTTTAGTAGAGACTAAAAACTGAAATATGCAAACTCAGATGCTTCCAGCCCCTGGGAGTTAGCATGGAAGAATGAGGCAAGTTAGGTGGAAGACAGAAGAAAGGGGTAGGGTCCTTGTTCAAACAGAGAGAGTGCCTGGCTTTGTCAAACCCATTCTGGTAAAACAAGCACATACAACATTGTATCAAACAGAACACAAACATGGGCTGACTTTGTCAGCGGAAGTCCTTATTGGTGAACTGTGGTACATCTTTTATCTTAGAACATATTGTGCAACTCAAGATCTATAGCATGTGTTAACACTAAAGCCTCTAGTCCAGGCTTGGACTGACTGGTTTTTTTTATAAATTTAGAGCTAATTTAACCCAACTTTGGATCTTATGACATTCGAAAAAGAGGGTGGGGGCAAGATTTAATAATGTGAAGCAATGTTTTGATTACTATTATTTATTTAAAGTAAATAGAGTAAATTTTATTCTAAAACATTATTTAAATTATTTTAACTTTTGATTAATTCTACCAGTTCCACCAAACCTTCTATAACTTGGTTCTCTGAACTAGATATTTCAGTAAAGGTTGAAAATTGGGAACATCATTAATTTGTACTTATAACTTTTCTTTGGTGCTCTTATATTTCAATTCAGTAATAATTTATTGAGCACATACTCTGCACAGCAGTGAACTAGATGCTATGGTATCATAGTCTTAATAGAATTGTGAACTGTGTCACTGTCATAGTTATTGCAGACCTGAGATAGGACTTGTTCAGAGAGTCTTTTTGAAGACTTTTAAAGTCTATCAAAATAAAAATACATGAAAAAATAGTAATTTTAGCAAATAAAAGGTTCAATTTCTAGCACTGTGAAAGTTACCATTGACATTAAAGTCATTCATTTTGCCATTTTTTTTAGCCTTTCATCACTCAAGTTTTCATCCCTGAAGAACTTCAAGTCAAATGTTGTTTTTAGTTTTATTAGGTTTGCCTAAGCAGAAATTAGATCTCTTTTGCATCTTCACAGTTAAATACTCAAAACAGTGCTTAAATTGTTTAAACAAAGATAAAATCTGATAAAGCAGAGCAAGGCTTGTCATTAATCAAATGCATATACCTCCAGGTTGGCCACATTCGTGCGGAGCGTGACATTCTAGTGGAGGCAGACAGTTTGTGGGTTGTGAAAATGTTCTATAGTTTTCAGGATAAGCTAAACCTCTACCTAATCATGGAGTTCCTGCCTGGAGGTAATTACTTGATGATGAAAGGTCATTTTTTTCTTCTTGTTCTGTGGTTTCTCTCTCACATCAACAATTAACCCTCCTTTCTACTTTCAATGGTGCTCACTAAGTTGCTTTCTGTATCTTTTTTAGGTCTATAAAGGAGGTCAGTAACGTGTCTTGTGCTCGGGTGCCTCTCTACAATCTTAGTGCCATAAAAGTAACCTTCTCATTCACTCTTCATGATTTCAGATGGACATTTCATTTTTTTTTTTTTTAACATATAGGAATAAACTAGGAGGCTCTCTTGCTCTCCTGTCAGTGGGAATCATGTATAATGAGTTACCCAAGTGACAAAATTGAAACTCTAACATTCTTTGCTTCAATTTTCTTTGTTTTTCTATAATTTATATTAGTAAGAAATGAATTCCTCATTATCTGTATTAGTAGTCACTATCAATACTCTCATTTCTGAGAGTTCAAGTTTTATATATTCAGCTTGAGCATCTCCTAAGAAAGCTCCAAAGCAAACCCAGAACATTATATACCATCTGTTCTGGGGGACACAGTCTTATTTCCTAGTGAGCAGTTGAACTTTGAGCAAACCCTTGTGGGCAAAAAACAACCAACTTTTTCTTTTTTGGTTCTAAAGCAAAGCACACATAATTGTGGCATAATGTTTTGACCTTGTGATAAGGGTCATAAAGAATTTTTCAGTAACAATTGATGAAGGTTAGAAGAGAGTCTGGCTGGCAGAGTGAGGAGAAACCTTTAATAGTTAGGTGCCAGTTCTTAAGTAGGAGGAAGAGCCAGTTTGGTCACCAGTTCCTTGATGTATGTCTCCTCAGGCCTTACTTGTATCATCTTCTGTAGCTTCTCCTCATGTCTTTGGGCCCTGCCCTTTGCACTCAGTGGAACTGGCCTGCAGACCCAAAGACCAGCTGACCTGAGCTCTCTGACCATCTGGGCATGCTTGCAAGTGAGGGCATTGGCTGCTCTCCTGACCATTGAGCTAAGGCTACACAGCTCCTTAGAGCTGGCTTGTGTGCACCACCGCCAGGTCCCCAGTGTGCGTCTGGATTGAATGTGTGGCTACCAAGAGTGATTAGAAAATTATATTTTTCAAGTTTGAGGCCGAAAAAGAAAGTATTTTAATGAGTGATTTAATTTTTACCCAAGGAAGAAATACCCTTTTTTTCCCCAGGAATGTAGAATTTGTCCAGAGTTACAGATGAAATTAAATTCAAGAAGTAGCATAATGCTCTGTTTAAATCTGAGGTTTTTCCTATTTTCTCACCTAAGCGTCTTTCTGTTTTATATAAAGTCTAAACTGTATCTTTCCTGTTCTCTTAGCTTTAAACTACTTATATATATTTTCTTTTGCTTTTGTCTAATTGTTAAGATCGTGCTGGTAATAAGCAGAAATAACTAAATTTTGACTTTGCAGAAAATAAAGGAATTTAAGTTTTAACTGCTAAAATAATGGTAGAATGTTATAAAAGTTACATAAAGCATTCTGGTGTGTATTTAAATATAACAAAACATTGGAGGAAAAAAAACACTGGTCTTGGGAGATATTCATTGTGGCAGCTATTATATATGTTGTAGTATTTAGCATTTCCAGTTCCTTTTTAGCTTTTGTTGACTAACACTTTGCTACATATGTCCCACCTTTTATTTGTGTTCTCAAAATAGAAATCAAAGAATTTATTTTCAGCAACAAGTTCTGAAACTTGTTTCAGGAGTGTTTACATTTTTGTTTAATATTTTAACATCTCTCTCTAACAATGGCAATCTCACCTATGTGGAAGTGATATTTAGTTATAGATATAAAGAGAGAGATTTATAGATATTTGTGCAGACAAAGTGAAAAGTAAAGCAGCTTTTTTCCCCAGTCCAAAGCAATATGCTATGTATATATATATATATATGTATGTTTATATGTATATGTATGTATGTT